TATATATATTTTTGTTGTTGTTGTTGTTGTTGAAAACAGACACATGCAAATATACTTATACACACTCTCACTCAAACAGACACAGACACACGAAATTCCTCATAATTTAGCTACTTAGGAGACACTACTTAATCATAAAATGCACTCTCAACTTAATTATACTTTAAAGGAAAGAACAGTAAAGTTCTTCAAAGACATTTACTGTACACAATATTTCCTTTTCTCTGATACGACCAGTTGGTGGATGTCGGGTTCACGAGTGTGGTTTGCTCTTTTCTTCTATCAAACACTTATCATTCCTATCTCCCCTCCTTCTTTTCTTGAAAAGTTACTCATAGTAACTTCTCTAACCTTCAACACTTTTGTAACCTACTCGTGTTGCAAGTGCCACAAAATTTTTACAAAAGCTGAAAAAACAACAACGAAACGCCAGGCTAAACTATTCCTCATTTCCTTGTCTCTCTGATGTGACCTTGATCCCTCAGGTGGAAAAGCTTGACCTTTCCCTGAAGGCTAAACTATTCCTGATATCTTTGTCTCTCTGATGTAACCTTGACCTTGACCCCCTCAGGTGGAAGAGCTTGACCTTCCCCTGAAGCGGAACCAGGGATTCGTGATGACCTACTTCATGCAGTACCGGGCTGAGGTGGCCGACATCATCGACGAAGGGGAGAATAAACAGTAAGATAACGACCACATCATCATCATCATCATCATCATCATCATCATCATCATCATCATCTTCATTTCATCATCTTCATCATCTTCATCATCATCATCATAGTCATCATCATCATCATCATTGCTTACTTTTCCTGTATGCGAACCTGTTATCCCTGGTTATGTCATTATGTTCATTTAGGGTTGGGGTTGTTTTTTTTTTTGGAGGAGGGGTTTTTTTTTAGAACATGACATATTTGATCAATGACTTACAATGATCTTAGTTTAATTAAAACATTCCTAGGATTCGAATGCCAGTTTCATATTGATGAGGGAGAGAATGAACAGTAAGAGTAAGATAACAACCTCATCATCATCTTCACTTTCTTTTCCTGCATATCCCTGGTTACATCATTATATTCATTCAGGGGTTTTGTGGGGTTGTTTTTAGAACACGACTTATCTAATAACTTACTGTAATCTTAGTATAAAACATGGCTAGGATTTGAATGACAGTATCACACTGACGAGGGAGAGAATTAATAGTAAGATAACAACCTCATCAAAATTATTCATCGCTTACTTTTCCTGCATATGCATACTTATTCCCCCTGGTCACATCGGTACGTGTATTTGAAGCTTGTTGTTTTTTTTAGAGCGAGATCTATTAAAAATTTGATCTAATGATTTTCTATAGTCTAAGTATAAAACATGGCTAGGATTTGAATGCCAGTATCATATTGACGAGGGACAGAATAAACAGTAAGACAACAACCTCATCATCATCATCATCACTTACTTTTCCGGGATGGGCATAGGGGCCTACCTGTTACCCCCTTTACTTCGTCACAGTCATTTATCTTTTATTTTGAACACGGCATATTCGATTTGACCATTAACGGTTGTGTTGGTTTGAAGCACACTTTTTTGTTTTTTAAAACACAAAATAGTAAATATTCGGTCTGACAACTTACGCTGTTATAAGATAAGTTTGAAACATGAACATTTATTTTGTTTTTTAAAATCAGAAGAATTATTTGGTTGATCTGACAAATTTCTATAATATATTCAGTTGAGAAATAATATTATTATGACTAGAATGAACATAATTATGACTTGGAGGCTGATGGGGCCTTAGTTCTAAGCAGACTGTTTGATACAAGCCTAAGATGTCCTGAAATTTGTAATACTATATTCTCTATAACATGACGCCAGTGGACAGACATGGAACTTTGTATGTGTTTCTTCGGTTATGACACTATGCTGGGGCTAAAGGCGAAACATTTGAGGGTTGGGCTCATTAATTAAGAGATATGGTTAGGGTTAGGGTTAGGGTTAGTGTCAGGGTTAGGGTCAGAGTCAGAGCTGAAGTTATGGAAATATAGCAACTATTATTTGGAGAGTTAGATTAGTCATATAGGGAAAAACATTTGTGTGTGTTTTTTTGTTTGTGTGTGTGTGTGTGTGTGTGTGTGTGTGTGTGTGTGTGTGTGTGTGTATGTGTGTATTTGTGTATAGTTTGGTATGCATCTGTATCCCACTCAATTCTTAACAGTCCATCAAGCATTGATCAAAGGCTCATTTATATTTGTATTCTTTCATACGGTTAATATGTTTATATATCCCTATGCTATACTTGTAAATAAATAACGGTATATCAATATGGGTAATATCATAGCTGCATTATCTCCTGATGTATCTACGTATCACTATATGCTATCTGTGTATCTATTAGTTTGTTCGTCAATGCCTGCCTGTCTGTCTATCCTTCCAGTTTTCTATCTACCCATCCATCCGTTTATCCTGTGAGGTATATTTCTATTCATGTTTCTTTCTGCTTAGTACCTAGTTTTGAGAAATTTGACACAAAAGATTCTGAGTTTCACATCATGTCAAGGTTTTTCAAATACATTTCTTTGAATATCTTGCTAACGACTCCATATCTAAGCTTACGGTTTTGATAGAGCAGAGAGAACATTTGTTTTTTGATCCCATGGTCTTTAAGTAACTCAAAATGGACATATTGTGAAAATGTTGGATAGAACTCTGTAATTCTGAGGTGGTGATATGTGAACAAAATAGAGGTAGCCAAGTGGCTCATCCTTCTCTCTTCATATTATTAAACATTTTTGTAAAAAGTATCTTTGAAAGCGATGCCAGATATAGATTTGATGGGCCCTACCGTCCATGCTGTTGGCTCTAAAGCACAGTATGGTTTTTATTTTTGTTCGTTTTAGTAAGCATTTTAGGGCACTGGCAATACAATAAGGTCATGATAAGTGCCAATGTTAGAGGTGTTACAAGAGAGTAAAGAAAAAAAAAGAAGGAGTAGAGATAAGGACGATAGGTGCTTGATAGGAAAGATGGAGCAAACCACACAAGAGCTCCCGCCAACTGCCCACTAATATGGTTTAGGGAGAAATTGATCATTACTGTTACCTGATAACTGGAACTTTAGAACGCGCCACAACAAAACCTACACAAGGTTAAGCTCTCTTTTGTTTAGTAAGAGTTTTATGGCGCTTGCAACAGCATAATAAGGTCGTATGAGCGCGTAAATAAGCTCTAATGTATTTCATTTGTTGCAAGTCTGAAATACGCTAGGAAACAGGAGACTGTTGGATCACCAAGGTTTGACATACCATATCCCC